TTTTTGGTGCTACAGGTAGAACCCAGAGTCTCAAACACATTAGGCAAATGCTTCCTCCCACCCTGAGCTAAATCTCCAGCCCTAAAATGAGGTTTTTAGATGCTTTTGCAAATGACCTGTATTGGCCCAGATTTGCAGACTCATCCTCTTCCGGGGTGTGGCAGGTGAGTAACACAAATGGTACGCTGCAGGCCCAGGGGGGATGCTGGTAAGAGCCCATGAGGAAGGCAGGTGCCTGCCGGGGTGATTCATGCCGGACAGGGCTTATTCCAGGTGTAGGGTTTGGGAAAGTCCCAAGTTGGAGAGGAGATCCAGGGAAACTCCCACTAGGGGAGGCATGCTACCCTGAGATACTAAAGATTGGCTGAGACTTGTGAGAAGAAGCACAGATGCCAGAGCTGACTGTAGCTGGATCCTCTTGCCCGAGGACCACAGTTCCAAGTGCTGGCCACATTACCAATTCTTCCTCAACCATGACTGGAAGCAACAGATTTGAGAGGGGACCAAATAAGAGTCCCCATGGTGGCCTGAGCTCCCCGGCTCACTGGAGGTTTAGTTTTGTTTTGACTAAGTGCTGTGGAACAGTGGTTCTCAAAGCATGGATCCAGGACAAAGTGCTTAGCATAGGCTGGAAGCTATTTGGACAGAGAGAGTCTAGAATCACCCCAGGTGGGGCAAACATGCCAGCATGGGCCACAGAGTGGTCTGTCTGCACACTTGAATCATGTGTTCCCGTCTCTGGGTTGTGAACGTGCAGCATCCACCATCATGACACCACACCCCGACCTGCCCTCACTGCTCCTGATCACCAGGATAGGCTAGCCAGCATTTCTCAGGCGCTCAGAGACCCCAGTGGTGCCCTGATGAGAATTTTAGCATCAAAAGAAGATACAGCAACTTGAGGAGCATGAGTCACAATACCAACAATTATTACCTCATGGTTCTGCTGAGCTCTGGAGAGCCCCAGACCGCAAATAATACCGTGTCAAGGAAGGGGGCAAATCAGAAGTCGGGTGTCCAGGTGGATGGAGCACACCACATCATTTCAGAATCTGTGGCATGTGAGTGTGCTTTAAAGATTGACTCCCAGGCTCCTGAGGCCAAGTTGGTTCCATAGTAGGGTGGAGTAGCGTGAGGTCAGTAGCTCTTTCAGCCCTGAGAGAACAAAGAAGACATTTTTGTGGCTAC